AATATCATTTCAAAAAATTTGAAGATTTCATGCGCAAATTACCGGTCAAACTTAAGTTGTTTGACTCTCAAAATATGAAAAGTGCCACATAAATTGGGACAGATGGAGTATTATTTTAACGAAACAATAAAGCATTCAGCCATTTTATTTTCATTGTAATTGAATGTACTAACATTCAGTAGAGTAATAACTAAGAGAATTTTAATGACATAATATTAAAGTGCAGTTGTTAAACTTCAAATTATGTTATTCTGTAATTAAAATATTTGTATTTAATTATTTTATAACTAGTAAAATCACCCACGCCTTGCGCAGGAATTTAATATCATGGAATTTATAATTTGAATTTAAAACATATCAATCATTGAAACTAAAAAACTATATTGTCTTACATACAAGATTACGTAGTAACAAATATTAATAATGTATAGGAAGATGATAATTATAATATCTTATCATTTATCTTTCAATCAATCATCTTTAATTTGATTTTATAATTTATACTTTTTCTTCCGGGAAGTGTTACGATTTTATATTTTTGGGGAATCAAATGAACTTCAAGCGGAGATATTAAATTTTCTAATAAAAAATTATCGTTGGTGAATGGATAAATAAATTTTTAAAGGCTGAAAAAAGTGAAGAAATATTCTAATTTTAATGTGTAGAAAGTTCAGCCCTACCTTTTACTTTACATCTATCATTTTAAAGTTCTCCATTTAAATGTATCATAAGTAATTATTAAAATGAAAAATTAAAGGGAGAATGTATCATATTGGATAACAACTAAACTTATTATATATACTTGAAAGGGAAAAATATTACACAAAACTATTAAGTTTGTTTGGGTATTTTTTTAAAATCAACTTACCAAAGTGATGAAGTTCAATTTGAAACTACACTTCTATTCCAATCGCAGTATAGAGAAACATATCTATTACTTCAAGAGAAGTATTTACAACTTGCAGTAAACTTGAGAATCTTTCCATACTTCATATTGAATATGAACAATAAATTTATTGTGTAGTTATCTATGTCTTTGGGATTAAAAGAGGCCCCAATCTAGTCATATTCCTGTAAAGGTCATCCGGCTCATCCTTGAACCCATGTCAAAAGTTTATTAATTTTTGTCTTCTTTTCTAGGTTCACTTTGCACATCAAGGTGTGATAAAGTTTTTAATGTCTTTATGTCCTTACAATGACATACCAAATTTGAATTTTGTCTTCAAGAGAAGGTAGTATAAATCTTTAAGGAATATTTTTACTGTACCCTTAATAATTTCAGCAGATAAAACCTGCGTGAATACTTAATTAACGTGTGTTTTTTAATTTTTACTAACAAATACTTATCACAATAACTTTGCAGAAATATAAACAAAAAAGTTTAAAACATGTACTCAAAAAAATAATTAATAACATAAGTATAAATTAATGACTGTAAAAAATACATACCAGGATCTGTAACAATAGAATGAAAGAGAAAGGAAAATATCGAGCCCACTGAATGCACAATGTCCCCTTAAGAAGTCATTCCCCTCTAGTACCCGAGGTTTAGAGGAATTGATCCTCTCAGGATAGAACGATTTTATTCACCAGTGTATTGATACAAAAATTATGGTGTAGTGAGCCACTCAACATGAGCAAAAGACACAAATATTTAATTGTGCAGAAGAAGAAGAAGAAGTTCAGAATTTTCGTTGTTTTAAAATGAGAGGAAATCCCTCTATTTATAGACACCAAAGGATAGTATGAACAAATGTTTATTGTGCCTTATCGGAAAGGTCACAACTCTTTGGAAAAGTTACTACCCTTCGGAAAGATCACAACCTTTCATAAAAGTCACAATCTTTCATAAAAGTCACAACTTTTCATAAAAATCGCAACTCTTCATAAAAGTCGCAACTTTTCATGATGTTTTGATCAAAGTCGCAACTTTTAATGAAAGGGGAAGACTAGTTTTGGAAATAAACAAATTAAAAGGGAATCATTGTTTGTGGTGGCGCCACATAGGCGGGCCTAGGGTTCTCTTATATATATATATATATATATATATATATATATATATGATATATGATTTATGATTTAATGGAGGAGTAAAATAGAGATTCAACTTCACACTTTGGAGCTTTCCATTTTTAATAATTATATGTCAATGTATCATTGTTTAGTATTATTATTTATTGCTCCAATAAGTGGTGGTTGGCAATGGTAATGGTAGTGATGATTATGATGGTGATTAGTGTTGTTGGTTGATGATTATGATGGTGATTAGTATCATTTAAAACTCAAATTTCTTCTTCAATTGCTAATTCATCATCCTCAACATATGTCTCAGCCCAAAAAAAGAGAGAAAGAAATCATTAAGAACGAAAAATCAGATGCTGAAGATCAAGCTGAAGATCAGTTGGATGAAGCAAAAGGCCAACAAGCTGTTCTGTACAGATTTAGGCAGAGGCAGAAAAAGATACAAATAGAAATAACAAGCTGTTCTAAATTGATTGCAAAGGAAGAGGAAAGTTATGTGTCAAAAGCGCCTCCTCGTCTTCGTGATGGTGATCTGGTGCATTTCAGCCACAGACATCCTCTGCTAAGATTTCATCTTAAAGGAACAGAAGTTATAAGATGCAATATGTGTACTATTATAATTTCCGGGGTGGCATATGGTTGCGATCGATGTCGTTACTTTCTCCATGAGGTATGCTCTAAAATTCCTAAAAGAATTCGACATGATTTTCATCCTATGCACTCACTCACCCTTCTTCCCATTCCTTCCATCGTTCTTTGGCATTCGAAAGTGGAAAGCGAGTTCTGTTGTGTGGCATGTGGTTATGACAACTCATTGTTTACATTTTACTATCATTGTGATTTGTGTAAATTTGATCTTCATCTTGAATGTGCCTCTGTGACGACGAAATTGATCCATAAGGTAAAATACCCTCTTGATCTCTTTACTTCCTTTCCACTAAAAAGTGAAGGGGCAGCCCTGCTATGTTGTATTTGTAACCAAGTTATGAATAGGCAATCCGCTTGGCTTTTCTATAATTGCGAGTTTGATTACATCTGTCATTTCGAGTGTGCTGCTGAAGAAGAGCTTGGAGTTATAGGGGATCAATGTTTCCTATCTGAAGTCCAGAAATCCTTGCTCCTCCGAAAAAGCTTCCCTGACCAACAACAGAAACTCAAAAAGCTAGGAGAAGTTATACACTTCAGCCACCGTCATCCGTTGAAACCAATCAAACAAGCGAATGAGGCGCCAATCATGAGTTGCTGCATATGTTCAAGCCAGGCTTTATCCGGTTACATTTGCCAGCTATGCAATTACTTCATCGACGAGACTTGTTTCCCTCTTCCGCGAAGAATACAACACCATTTTCACCCAAATCACCCCCTCATACTCGCTAGCTATAACGATCATCCAAAGTCAAATGCAGAGCTTGTGGTGATGAAGACGGTGCAACATATCGTTGCACTACTTGTAAATTCAGTCTCCATCGTACCTGTGCTGGTGCTCCCATGACATTTACCCTTATCAAAAACAAGAAAGTTTCTTATAAACTTCTCTATTCGTATCCATATGATGGCGAGATGGCAGTAATCAAATGCAGTGCCTGTTCCGAGGAGTTAAACTCAAAGGAGAGCTTCTTGTACTACAATTTCGACCTCGATGAAGTGCTTCATGTCCAATGTGCACTTAATAGAGAAACTGACTCTTATGATACTAAGTTTATTTTTGTTTCTGAAAGACTGAAAAGTATTAAAATAGAGGAAGACGACTCCTAGTAGTAATTATAAAGTTTTAGCTAGCTTGTATGTAACTCTAATGGAATGATAATGCCTAGTATATGATCTGTAAGAAAATTTGATTATTTTGTTTATTTTGAAGTTTGCAACTGTAATATATTCGCTCTATTTGACGAATTGAATTTACATATCTAGTAATGAACACGTTTCAAACATATTCGGTATTGTGAAAATTCTTCATAAATTAACTAGCTTATGTTATCCATCAACCTAACAGAATCTCCCTCTTTCATATGACTATGAGATTGACAATATGAGTAAGCTCTCAAATAGAGTTGGGATTACATTAAGCAAATGTTAATTTTGTGGGAAGGGTTTTGAAGAGTCTCACATCGTCTCTTTCGGGGATAGAGATGGTATCTTTGATATGATTTGTGCAATCCTCACATCTTGTGCTAACTTTTGAGGTTGACTCAAGAATACACTCTCGATGTCAAGAAGAAAACATAGTAACATAAGGACTTACTCTCGAAATTGAGATAACAACACATTAATACAAAGGTACATTTATCAGTCTAGCTATAAGGTGACCGAATTTCTATCATCATCACCTGAAGAAGAGGCATAGTCATCATTGCAGACCATTCACAGCCAAAACGCTAGCCTGAGAAGGGAGAATCAAACTACAAGGTCAGAAGTAATGTTGACCCCGACAAAGGAACAATTAAGAAAAGCAAGAAAAACTACAGACCTTAGCACTAGCATATTGTGCACTTTGGTTAAGGAGGCATGAGGAAGAGACATTGTCCATCTTCTTTCAGATAGCTAGCGACCACCACAGGTCCATCGACTTCCTCAGGGAACAATAGCACAACAAACCGCCACACATTTGATAGTGATGGCAGAGGTAGTTAGTGGTGGTGGTTGATGATTACAAATATAGTGGGGTAAAATTTATTCAAACAAAGTTTAATGATTTTATTGATATAAAACAAAAGGCGACTTTGCTTCATAATTTTCTTTTACTTGAGTTACTATTTGAGAAATTTACGATAAAATCCAGGCCTCATCTAAAATATCATTTTAGCCTGTGAATTATTGAAACATATGATAGAAAAGGTTAAAACTGGTCAGTTTCAAAACAAAAACAACAACTTTTTTCATTGCAAAAGGCAAGTTACTGTATAATGTAGAACTGAATTCTTTCTTTATTTCTCTACTTTTCCTCTGCCTTTCCCTATTCTCTTTTCTTGTTTTTACCTTTTTTCACTTTTGACTTATTGGCTTCTTTAGCTTTTTGCTTTCTCAATAATTTCACTTGTGCTATGCTATTTCAAAGATTGTGATCAAGTCTTAAAGAAAAATAATCAAGTAGTAATATCAATTGATGCCGGACAACAAGAAGATGCTTTGTTTGATCTTTGATGATAACAATTTGGAATTCAGTTATTTACTAGGCCTTTCTATATTGCTACCAACTATTGTTCTGGTTTATTGTCTGCTCAAATTTCTTCTTCAATTGCTAATTCATCATCCTCAAAACATAGCTCATCCCAAAAAAAGAGAGATAGAAATCGTTACAAACGAAAAATCAGACGCTGAAGATCAAGCTGAAGATCAGTTGGATGAAGCAAAAGGCCAACAAGCTGTTCTGTACAGATTTAGGCAGAGGCAGAAAAAGATACAAATAGAAATAACAAGCTGTTCTAAATTGATTGCAAAGGAAGAGGAAAGTTATGTGTCAAAAGCGCCTCCTCGTCTTCGTGATGGTGATCTGGTGCATTTCAGCCACAGACATCCTCTGCTAAGATTTCATCTTAAAGGAACAGAAGTTATAAGATGCAATATGTGTACTATTATAATTTCCGGGGTGGCATATGGTTGCGATCGATGTCGTTACTTTCTCCATGAGGTATGCTCTAAAATTCCTAAAAGAATTCGACATTATTTTCATCCTATGCACTCACTCACCCTTCTTCCCATTCCTTCAATCGTTCTTTGGCATTCGAAAGTGGAAAGCGAGTTCTGTTGTGTGGCATGTGGTTATGACAACTCATTGTTTTCATTTTACTATCATTGTGATTTGTGTAAATTTGATCTTCATCTTGAATGTGCTTCTGTGACGACAAAATTGATCCATAAGGTAAAATACCCTCTTGATCTCTTTACTTCCTTTCCACTAAAAAGTGAAGGGGCAGCCCTGCTATGTTGTATTTGTAACCAAGTTATGAATAGGCAATCCGCTTGGCTTTTCTATAATCGCGAGTTTGATTACATCTGTCATTTCGAGTGTGCTGCTGAAGAAGAGCTTGGAGTTATAGGGGATCAATGTTTCCTATCTGAAGTCCAGAAATCCTTGCTCCTCCGAAAAAGCTTCCCTGACCAACAACAGAAACTCGAAAAGCTAGGAGAAGTTATACACTTCAGCCACCGCCATCCGTTGAAAGCAATTAAACAAACGAATGAGGCGTCAATCATGAATTGCTGCATATGTTCAAACCAGGCTTTATCCGGTTACATTTGCCAGCTATGCAATTACTACATCGACGAGACTTGTTTCCCTCTTCCGCGAAGGATACGACACAATTTTCATCCAAATCACCCCCTCATACTCGCTAGCTATAACGATCCCCCAAAGTCCAAATGCAGAGCTTGTGGTCATGAAGACGGTGCAAAATACTGTTGCTCTACTTGTAAATTCAGTCTCCATCGTTCCTGTGCTGGTGCTCCCATGACATTTACCCCTGGCACAAACAAGAAAGTTTCTTATAAACTTCTCTATTTGTATCCATATGATGGTGAGATGGCAGTTATCAAATGCAGTGGCTGTTCCAGGGAGTTAAACTCAAAAGAGGGCTTCATGTACTACAATTTCGACCTCGATGAAGTGCTTCATGTCCGATGTGCACTTCATAGAGAAACTGACTCTTATGATACTAAGTTTGTTTTTGCTTCCGAAAGACTGAAAAGTATTAAAATAGAGGAAGACCACTCCTAGTAGTAAATACAAAGTTCTAGCTAGCTTGTACGTATTGTAAGAACATCTGTTGAATTTGTTATCTATGATCTGTTTGTGACATTCTAGTTTAATTCACGACTACATTCTTCATGCTTGCTAGGCATCCCTTCGGGGATATCAATAAAATTGGAGCGATACAGAGAAAATACATATGAGGTGAAGCTCAAAATTAAATGCCCTTCAACATGAACGTCCATATATTATATATATTAGATACTTGCTGCAAAATACATGTATCAAGTACTTGAATAATTAACATATGCTTTATTTCACAACTTTTTAATATATTACATGCCATTTTTCAGTTTCCATGTGTTTAAGTAACCCCAGCAGCATAATAAAAGGAGTTTATTTTATGGGATTGGCAAGTCATGCTTGTCTATGAGATAATAGTACTGCCTGTCAAAGTACCAATCTCCAAATGCCTTTATCATTGTCTGCAATAAAAACCTTCATTAATAAGCGTTACGTGGCACCGTCAGACTAGACACAAAGTTTATGAAAGAAAAAAATGCTTTTGAAAGTTGAGTTATTTTTTAAAAACACGACATCTTTTTTGAGACGACATACTAAATAATGTCATACCACATTATTCACCACACTGACATTCTGTGGATTCCAGTAACTCTGAAGTCTAGCATGATGAAATTGAGAGTCAATAAAAGCTCCTCTTGATTTTGTGTCACTTGCATTGGGCAATTTACTTAACAACTCCAATCTAAGTTCTGAAATAAAATAACTCAAATAATTAGAAAATTACAAACTTGTACATTGGGAAAAAAAATTAATTTGTAATCTGACCTCTAAGGTTTTTCTTTTGATTAGCAGAGCAATTATTCTGTTTATTGGCATTGTAATAATCACCTAATGAAGTTCCAACCTGCAATACAATTTATTGGTCAAAATTCATGTAGTTTTACTCTCGGGGAATAAAACATGACAAGTATAACAATATAATTACCTGAACTATATCGAACGGTGACATGATTGTATAAAGTGGCGTTTTGATATATTGTTGCATGTTTTGTGGGAAGAAACACTGCAAAAATGTATCGCGACGATTTTCAGTAATAATATCAACATTAATCCACAAGAAGAAAAAATTAAGTAGTAACAATTTGTACCAATTCTGGCTTCATTCTTGAAGTGCAGGATTTTGGTAGTGCTTTGGCAGACCCCTGCATATATGAACTCATCAATTTATTTTTGACTCGTTCATTTGACACATCTGTTTGAGTAACATAAAATGAAACAAGAAGAAATACGAAAGGAGATTATGTACATGTAATGTAACAAGTGCTTTATAGATTGTTTTGAAGCCTTTTCCCTTCTGAAGATTCTTGTTGCTGAGAGAACAGAACAAATTGTATAATGTGATTCTTACAACATATGAATCATCTTCAAAAATTGATCATATAACACGATAAAAATGTCTTACACATTGATGAAATAGCCACTATCAGTCAAGCATTTTAATCGCGGAGTATTAGGCAATAGTTTGCTGAAGCGATCACAATATAACATTGCTGGATATGCCCCAGCAGAACTTCCAATAAGAAGGGCCTAGTATAGTACAATAAATTAAACTTCTATTAGCGTATCTGACAGTACATGTTGGTCGATATTTTTGAAGAGTCTAAGCGACATAGTTATTTATACTTTGTGTAATAAGTAAAGTAAGTTGACATACATTTTTGGCATCTTTTAATCCTTTTGACAACAAATCCTCCATAACTGCAGAAAAAATCCTTGCACCTCTAAAGTGAAGATTGGTAGCCTAAAAAAGACAAAAAAAAAAGTAATTAAGTACATAAATTGAAGCTTTTATAACCTCTAAATTCTTATAATGAACAATAGTATGTTATTGTGGAATTCATCATCTTGATGGACCGCCTTTACGTGGTCAACAAACTCATATTAATACTAGGACTTGTCACAAGCTAATTCAAAAATGAAAGAAATTTACCCAAAACTCGTGGTACTTGTCTGATGAATCATACTGATTGGATCGCATATGTTTGGTAAAGAAAAATGGAATGTTCAATTGAAACATGAAAATGTGACTAAAAGCGTTGAGTATTAAGTTATTAACCTACCCCCGCCCCAATTTTTTTCACAACAAAAAAAATAAAACCATATGGTAATTATTAATATGAACAAAATTATAAGATCATGTTGCTTTATAATATATAACATACAGGATCAACTGTTTCAACATCTCCGGTGAATGCTCCTCCATCACAATATGCAACCATAACTTTGTTCCAGTTGAACAAATCTGCATGTTTAATTTTGCATTGTAAAGGCTATTATTAGTGATTAATTTATTTATTTATTCTAATTTTGTAACCAAAATTTGCACAGATTAAAAAAAAAGAAAAAGGAGATAGTGTTTAATTACCTGGATTAGCATTTTTATTGTTGCTGAAGTGACCTCTAAATTTGAATGGAGGCATATGTTTTGAAGAACCAAAAGAAGTAGTTGAACGATTTTGGCACTCTCTCACATCTCTACACCATCCTCCTCCCTAATAACAACAAAGTATTACGTACGGCTCGAGTATTATCATAAAAGTATTTGTATATAATTAAGACAAATCTTGAGATTTATTTAAACCGTTGGAATTGTACTATCAAAATAGACTGAGTTAATAAATAGACAATCATTAATCCTCCGAAACTTACAGATAGGTGAATCATCCAGCTTTGAGCACCTTCACCAAATCCTCTATCCATGTAAAATGCTGGTGGGCTTCCATCCAAGCAGACTGCATCTAAATGAGGTTACAACACTACTAGAAGAGACTTATGAAATAGGATATAGGTAGGTCCGGAGAATATTAATTTCGTCTGTCTTATTTTACGTGATATTGTTAGACTCAACATCAAGTTCAATAACTTTTGCTTAAATAGTGTATTTCTATTAAAAGGTTTATTAATACGTACAAATATTAAGTTAAGAACCCAATTATTAATACTTGAAATCATCATTATAAAATTCTGACTTCGCCTCGGCTTTGAGTTGTATAAGTGAAGCAATTTACCTGCTCCTTTAGACACAGCATTCTTAAGGATTGTTTTCTCAACAAAGTATTCATCATAATTATATGTGTCCTTTTGTTGATTAGGTGCACTTTCTGCTAATAAAACGGTCAATGAAGTACAAAGGAGTAACAAAATTACAAGTTCGAAGGATCTTGTTGCCACCATTATCCCAGCTGAGAACATAAAACAAGTCAAGTGTGTTAGGGAAATTAACAAATAGAATAATGCCAATAAGAATGTACATTATCGTCTATATATATTTGGCAAAATATGACAATTTTTTTTAATATATGTATACCTTTTTATG